ATGGGTTATCACTTCATGTTCTTTTGTTAGATTCACTCCTCAGCTTTTGCTGAGCGTGTAGTTGTTTTTGCTAAACGCAGGTAGACATGACGGAGCAGGTGCCAACCCTGGAGAGCGGTGACGATGGGGAGACGGGCGGCGCACGGACGAACTCTTAATTACTTTCAGTAACTTCGTTAATAAATTGGGCATGAACCCACCCTTGTCGTTATTTAATTTGGACTGAACTTATTTAATTACTTCCGCAATTACTCTGCACTTTTATTACACACGTATTGGGAGTAACTCCCTGGCATTTATTCCTTTAATTAGAACCCAACCGTTTTCTTATTAAATAAACATTTATGTTTCCGTAACGGATGGTTCTCGGACTGTCCATGTAACCCTACCGGTCCGTTGGGTCGCGGGTGAACCGGGTCCCCGGAAGGCGGGTGTTACAATTTGGTATCAGAGCCTGGTTCGGTTTTTTTGAAAAAAAAAACACAACTTGTCGTCAAAAGTCCACAGCCGCATCTCCCATCGCATCACTCCCAGGGAAAGGTACACTGTTATTTAGATCACATGTATGTCATATTATAACTAGTTCTGATTTATGAGAATGAGTCAAGAACCTGGCAATGACGGACAGGCGGTCCCAGAGGGGGAGCCTGAGCACGTGAGCGTGCACACTGAAGCGTCGAGCTTCACACCTCAGCAGGCCTCCGAGCAAGCGGTCCCGGGCGTGGGCCCTATACCGGAAGCCATCCCTATTGTCCAGCCGCAGTTCGTGGCTAACTTCATGAACTTCCTCTAGTAGATGGCTGGAGCTTTCGTGCCACCACCGCCACCACTGCCGCCACCAGTGGCGGTGGTCACTATCGAGAAACTCCAGAAGAATGGAGTTGAGGAATTCTTGGGCGATCAGATCGCCGACCCCATGATTGCCAAACGGTGGTTTGAGCGAACCATCCGAGTGTTGGGGAACCTGAGGGTTCCACAGGAGCAGCGTGGTGACCTCGCAGTCGCATTACTTCAGGATTCCGCCTACGACTGGTGGAAGCGTGTGGGAGCAGGCGTCCCGGAGCCCGTGCAGTGGGCCACATTTGACCGACTCTTCCACGAAGAGTACATCCCTGAGCACTTCGTCGAGGCGAAGCGAGAGGAGTTTTTGAAGTTCACCCAGGGTGAACTCACACTGCCTGAGTATCGTCAGAAGTTTGACGAGCTCGCGGGGTTTGGGCTAGACCTCGTACCGACCGTGGAGAAGCGATGCAAACGCTTCGTGGAGGGTTTACGTCCCGACCTTTCGACCCATCTGATCATTGCTCC